TTAGCCCCCTTTCACAACGCGCGATAAGGAACTTCGTTCCAATAATGTCTATTTATATGTTGACTTTATTTTTCAAAGTATAAATCGAGGAATTGCAACAAATAAATAATTTAAACGTTATTTGGTTTAAAATATTTCGAAAATGCATCTGTCCTATTCACGCGTGCATCTGCAACGCATTTCAATTGAAGCGCCTGGTATGCTATGGTTAATAATAAACTACAAACGCTTATACATTACAAACTATTAGGCCTCAAAGTCGTTTCAATTCGTACAAGAAATTGATCAGAGTAGTCAATATTTCTAACACGTTCTATTGTCACGGAATACATAACAGTGTTATTTATTATACTTGAGCCCTGAAATTATACAAAACTAAATATTATACAAATGTTAAACATTACGAATACAATTATTTTTCCTTGGTATCTTTGATTTACCTTGAATAGGAAAGAAGTATATAATTTATTATAATCGATTGATACTATTTAGGTGTACCTATTAATAAAAATCGTGACTCCTATTAGTCAAGTTTAAACTCATTTGGTTTATAATTATGTTTACTACTAAAAGTTTCCATATTCCATTTTTAGATTTAACCATCAGACATTTAGTGCTGGTGGCAGCACCAGCACTCGGTGGTTACACCACCCTATTTTTGATCAATTTTTCGGCTTTTCAATATATATATGTAGAATTGTAGATGTTTATATGATACTTATTAGTATCATATAAACAGACAAGAATAAAACAGACAAGTGCAAGACTAACTCGAACAATAGATCCTATTCAAACTTGTTTGTGGATAATTCTAATGTCGTAAATCGATTCGAGAATACTCTTGTACCGAATATGTTAAAAGAAGAACTTTTGTTCGTCTTTTAACATATATTGTTTACACTGTTAAAGAAAAAAAATCAAGTTGCAGTAAATTTTATAACCGCTAAGTAATTGTAATCACGAAAAAATATGAAATAATATTTTTATTTTTATTTTGGCTGTTTGTTCCGCTGATCTCCGAAACGGTAGGACTACTTTTATTTTAAGAAAAGAATTAGGGTTCCATGCAAAGAAACACATGAGCTAAGCTGCGACATGTATAACTGGTTCATAATAAACATTCTAGAACGTGTAATATATAGGTATATCATTTAATAGACAGACCTTGTGAATATATGCCAACATAGTTGAATGTTGGCTGATATCAGTGCTAATAAACGATTGCAAGTACCAGTGGCGTGCACGTGCATGTAGTCTACCTAATCACTATATTCTATGTAATTAATGGTTTTAGATGTCTCGGGAGAAAGAATAACCATTCGAACACGCTTTCATTTAAATTTAATTTATCTTAAACTAAAAAATTAAATGAAAAGAGAGTTCGTTCTATTCTCTTCTGTGTTTTCTAGACTCTATTATTTTTATTTAATTTAAAAATGTTTGGTGTCTAACAAATTAAATTATTTAATTGGTTCACCCACTTTAGATCTATACAAAAAACAGGTTGCCTTATTACAAATAAAGTTACATATAAAAATAATATAAAACAAATAGACTGTCTGTGTCACCACCTGCGTGCTCGTGGTTGTTCCCGGGACGCTTGGCAAGTATCGGGCTAACAAACTCACCAGAAAATAAGAAACATATTAGCACACATTACAATGACATTTCTTTTATGTAGTCAATATAGTCTATGAATCCAAAACAATTTAGAGCCAATCATTTTTCTTCGATGTATTAATCCACTATTGGTTGGAGTAATAGCTCATTACGCAAAGTAGTTTTACTTTAGATTTCAATGTGTTTATACTAAACATAGGTATATATCTGTGATTTTATTTTTAAATGCACACGTTGGCCTCGAACCGACTTCTAATTTTTTTGAAGCCTAATAGTCAGGTTTCAAGTTGTTTTAATTTCAAAAGTTTTTTAGTTTCAAAATTAATCTCTTCTATAATTAAACGTTAGGTATTGAAATTTTCCCCTTTCTGCATTCACGAAAGTTTCTTAAAACTATGTTATCTTCTAGGAAATGTGGGCATAACTATGACTCAAAAGTAACAATAAGGTTAAGAATTTCATACATTGCCTTGTCTTCTAGGCAACCATGGGTTAGTAAATTATATACGTACATTTAGTCTTTTCTCTATTAACTATTATTACTGTATTAGCACGTGGGAGAGTCACGATTCGGCATATTTAAACCGACTCGACCGGAGCAATAGAACGGTCGTATAGAAAACCAGTGTTTTGTAATTCTTTCATTGGTTTTCATAGTAAGTGAGGTAACCGGAGCCCAACCTCACCCCTCCTCCTAATTCTGTGTGGGCGGGGGACGGAGGGGGAGGGCGGCTGGAGGGAGAATTTAAAAAAGGCAGCATCACACTTTTGACTCTTGAGTTGAAGTTGACCATTGGCGGCGGTGGTTATTTACCATCGGGTGATCTAATGGTGCTCGGTTGCCCCCTACGTCAAACCAGGGTCAGAGACAATCATAGGCATAAAAGATTTTAAATTAATCTCAAATTATAGTAATAATAATAATATTTTCACACATTTCACACACGGCTGTCTGATCCCAAACTAGGCAGAGCCTGTATTATGATAACCAGACTGTTGATAAACATACTTATATATATCTAAATACATACATATTATAGATTATAAAGTTCACTTAGACCCAGGACAAATGACCGTGCTCATCACACAATTATTTGTACTGGGTGGGAATCGAACCAGTCCCAGTCCAATCCAGTCAGGGTTACTAACCACTAGACTAACTGGCCAGTCATTTATGTTCAAAATGTATCTGTTAAATTATCTGAATTAGTATGCAATACGCGTTGTTTGCAGGAAAATGTTTTGCCATGAAAAAACTTAAAGGCGCATTAAATGATTTAAAAGCTTCTAATGTACTCGTAATGCATATGCAGAAAGTGAACAACCACTGCAAACGCTGTGAAAATCTCATTCAACTTAGCTTTAATGTTTATTCGAAAACCCTAAGGTATTTCATATTTCTATCTTTTTGTATTCGTATAATTAGTTTTCGATTTCTAGGTATGAGAATAGAATAGAATAAGCTTTATTGTACACCAGTTTAGTACATGATCTTATATATAAAATTCTCGTGTCACAATGTTAGTTCCCATACTCCTCCGAAACGGCTGGACCGATTTTTATAAAATTTTGTGGGCACATCGAGTAGGTCTGAGAATCGGCCAACATCTATTTTTCATACCCCTAAATGACAAGAGTTTACCCAGCCCTAATTTTGTTTTCCAATATTTCCTAGAAATAATGTATATGGCAAAACAACGTTTGCCGGGTCAGCTAGTATATAAATACAATGGTATGTATATCAAAAAGACCCTGGCTGTCTCGAGTTTTTAACAGGCCAGTCCAATACGAAAATTCCCTTTTTTGCCATGCCTTCCATTTCAATATACCTAGTACCAAATAGTCCCAACTTTGATTTTTAAAGTGCCCCGTGCCAGTGCCAGTCTTATCTCATGTAATCATCTCTGCCTAGTCACCTCAGATACAGGAGTCAGGGTATGTTTAAGTATATGTGCATTACGTCAATTTAATGTGTTAATGTGTCTGGTTATTTTTTGTTTTAATAAAGTGATTTTGCGCCAAGTAGTGGGAAAACCGTAGCACTTTGGCGCAATGCCGCTCACGTCCCGTCTACTTGGATCAACTTCCTTATCTTACTCGTCTCTGTACTAGGGTGACCAATTCATTGTAGGACAAAGCGTTTTAATTTTGACCCCTTTTTTAACGTGTTTTGGACACGAAAAGCATATTTGTATTTATACTGTATAATAAATGACAATGATAGGCGTACAATGGTTCTACCCGAGGTGGTCATCTTCAGGCGGAAGATGGCCCGGAGTCCGTTGGGGTTCCAGGGATTTCCTTCACACTACACTTGATTTTCCGGCTACTGGTACCCGTGACAGCGTGCGGTTTTTGGTCGGTTCATGTCTAACGTAATTACCGGTGGGTGGTATCCGAGGGGATTTCCGCACAGAAAAAAAAACGGTGTACACTAGTTCGGGTTACTGATAAATAAATGATAAATGATATTTATTTCTGTAAGTAAATCTTTTCAGATATTTTTACAAGTCGCAGACTAGCTCAGTGCTGCATACTTTCTGTCGTCGAAACTGAGAGGCGAAAGAGTCTTACTTCACCCGCAAATATTTATGACATTTTCTGTTCGCCAACTCAATCCAATCGCCAATCAAATGTACATTTCCTGACAATATAACGTGAAGAAATTGGTCCCCCTACTAACAGTCCGCTACGTAATTTGTATTCGGTACGACACACGTCTGGAATGTTAGCGTAATTTGGAATTTCACAGCCGTTGATTTATTCCTAATACAATAATATTTCCTATCTATTAGTTTCGCTAATAACGAAGCAGACCAAAGTACAGGAGTCGGTTGAAACAGACAAGGTTCTGTTAATGTACCTATTACCGCGGACCTTGAAACACGGAATAGTACTTTTAAATTGTATTTAGTAATGTTGACACATGTCAAGAATACTTAAGAGTAATAATTATTACTTCATAGGTTTAGCTTAAAACTTAAGACAGATTCCATTAATAATTTGCGACGTTGTTTAACAGCAAGTTTTAGAAAGAAACAGCTCCATCTTTGACTTTTATTTTAAATAATTTCGAAGTATTTCCAGACAATCAATTGAGATATGATTGAATGGTGATCCAATTTAATATTTAGTTCAATTATCTCATTGCTATCTATTAAGAACGTTTAATGTCTTCTTTTACGTTTTGTCCGAAAACTTTCTTATTTATGGATTTTAGGATATTGCATTATTCCCTCCTTTACAATGACAGCGTAGTTCACAGAGTACAGTAATACTAGCATAAATACTAGTATAGTTGCTAAGAAACGTTGTTTCTCTGAAGTAAAATGTCAATACAACGGCAAAGCTCGCTCCCTGTAATTACCTTCATGATTATCATGTTGATTATTTCTTACCGGAATTCGTTTTACAGACTACGAATAAGAACGAGGTCTAGAAATTGTACTGGACAAAATTTGATTGAACGTTCCTCAATATTATCAGCTAATGATTTAGACACGCTGTGTGTTTTTGAAAGATTGAATCTTGAAGACTTAAATAGAGTTGTATGGCCAGTTTGCTGGGAGAATGGGGGGAATGGAAATGGTGGGGACAGCGTTAATGGGAATGGTGATGATGCTAAAGGTCAAGCAAATGATGAAGATGAACGTAAAGAGCAGGAAGAGAGAGAAAGACGAGCGCGTACGACTGCATCTCATCATGGGTTTAATAGGTCTTATCATAGGTATCCAGAACGTGCTGGCTGCCGCAGGCATATCAGTTCTCATGTCGTTGTATGGAGTTGTTTGGTAATAGTCTTCTAAGTTATCTCATAGGACTAATGATATAAAAACTTAATTAATATTTTAAGAATATGTTTGACGTATTGTTGTGTAATAAAGATTTAAGCTACATTATAAATTTAAATATATTAAAATTTAAAGTACTTATTGTTATTGGAGAATATGTGCTCAAAACTCACTCAAGCGCTCTTTTTACTAGGAATGAGACCGATTAGCTGTGGATGTGTTTTAAATCTAAATGTAATGTTCATTGAGAATTGCTTGCAAATGTAACCATATGATTAAGTGAACACTTGTAAGTGATGGAACCAAATATTTCTGCTGAATATTCAAGTCTATTTGTAAAATGAAATGCCTGTCTCCTACAGTTAGGAATATATGTCATAATTATAGTGAGGAACAGTTTCAAAATTATCGGAATTGAAAAATTTTAGATAGATGAACAATTGACAGGTTAACAGGATAGTTTAAGTAAAATAAATATGGACGTTAAATTATTAAACGAGTTAGTATTTAAAAAAATGCGTATACTAAAGCCCCGTATTCATGGTAAACATCTGTTTAGCAACAAAGTTGAATCAACGTGTTGCGGAGTTGCTGTCAACATGTTGCTAGCAACACTGCGTGTTGCATAGTTGATAGCGTCATCGTCATGTTGACAAGCTCTCGCCCGACAAGCGTAAACATCAGTTTAGCAACAATTGTTGACGTGTGTGAACGTGTTTGCAACAGTTTATAAACATGGCAGTAGTGTGGAGCAATGATAAAGTAATGCAACTAATAGAATTATTTCAATCAAAACCATTATTATGAGATTCTTCTATAAAAGAATACAAAGATAGAAACAAAAAGAATGATGTGTGTTTCCCTTTTGGCCATTGATGGACCAATCATTTCCAGAAGATGTTCGAAGTCACTTTTCGACATTCTCGTAAAGTTACAAAATGATCCATCTGTCATTCTGAGGTCACTCATCAAATTTTCTCATTGCAAAAGATAGTTTCGAATCCATCATCTTTTTCTCTTTTTTTATTAGAAATCCTATACATCAGATACAGAGAACACAACAACACTACCTCCTCGGGCAACATTTTAACGCAGGCTGGCGTGTGGACAACCTGTATTGATTTAAACATAGTTGCTAGCAACATTCTCGCTGCTCACCAACAATGTTGATCAACTGTTGCTAAACAAATGTTTACCATGAATACGACTCTTAAACACGTTTTGTTGATAATTTAAGTTAATAAGTTAAGTTGATAACTACATCAATAATTATACTATTTGTTTGTACAAATGCATGTTTATACTTATATTGTATTTATAAAATATATATATATATTTGTATTTGTATGCATTGTACACCTAGACTACCTTCTGTTTTTTCTTATATAGGGACTGTCGATTTGTCATTCCAAAGGTTGCCCGTAAGAGATTGCTATTAGCAATAAGGCCGCCCATTGTACATATCCATCAGTAATATTTAACCAACTTACTGTAATTGGTGTACAATTAAGCATATTCTATAGATCTGTTATTCTGGCTTAAATAAAAATATAAATAAAAATTACGTAACCATAGGTTATTTTGGTTTCATGTACGGCAGTTATAAATTAGCATCTAATTTGTTGATGATAATAATAATTGTGATTGTAACATGCTAAAAAGACAAATGTAGCTTCGTGCCGATTTTTCAAACATCAATACAAAAATCGATGGAGTAATATTAGTGGAGTTGGAGAAATAAATTCGCCTGACAATTGCACCTTTAACCTTTTTGTATTCAACGATACCCGAAAAAAAATCCCAGTGGCCACACTAGTCTATCCAACATCTGACCAACAAACACTGCTTTTAAAATCAAACAACGGTAAATATTGAAAGAAAAATAGAAGGGCTGATCAAATTAACAAAGACAAATTTGTACTAGGCTGGAGTTAGGCTTAGTAGTTTTAGTTTTAGGCTAGGTTAGTGAAAACTTTTAAATGATGAAATATCTCTAGGTCATTTCCTTGAAATACTGCGATGAAAATTAATTTACTAATTTATCGCAGTGTCTGTTTTATTACAGCGGTACTGCCAGCTACTTTAATTGAGAAAAAAATATTTTGAAGGCACCTTGTATTTTTACCTTGTTTATAATTGTAAAATATAACAGTTTGCAAGCGTTTGTTTTATTTATTTTCAGTGTTTTATGTAGCTATTACGCCCCGCTTTTTTTTCTTTTGGATGTGAAAATCAAAAAACTTATTTCAGTTCACTAATATATAATGGTGTTGGTGTAGAAATTTTGTGTGACAATGAAGATGTCTACAAAATTCGAAACGAATCCTTTCGACACTACAAAACGTAATTCTTATCCAAAAATACATTACCAATCTAACTTTTGCACACAAATATTTGACATATATACATTTATTTAATATCACTTGTGTTATCGATTTAGTCGATAGAATAAATGATGGTAAATACTCATTTTTTTAACCTTTTTCATCTATCCTGTTAACTTAAAATGACACTTGAACTGAAATTTGTCCGTTTTTTTTTGTATTAATATTTTTATTGATGCATACATCTTTATCATTTTTTTTAATCTACACACTTATAACTATTTAAATCCGTAGCCTGTTTTTGCATCATCATAATGTGCGATCGAAGAACAAAAGAAAGTTCAGTATTTTTTGCAGACAGTGTTTCTAAAGGTAGCTCGAAGCCTGAAAATATTGAAGACTTGAAAGGTCAAGATACACCTCAGGAGCCTGCAGTATCACAGTCACATAGATATATACCTATATCTGATGACTATCCGAATTTCACGGCATATAATAAGCCTTTACAGGGCCGTTATATAAAAGGTCCGACAATTGACTGGTGCCGAGGCTGCGACTTGCCTAGAATTAGTGTAGCTATTGTTGTATGGAGTTCATTTTTCTTCTTTACTTTCTTTTTCTACGTTTATTTAAACAAGTACAATCGGTTGCGATAATGTTAATTGCAACTAGTGTTCAACCCTATGATCAATAGAAAGAACAGCGCTCGAAGGCATGGTAACGTAAAATTAACTAACAAAATTTGTAAGTTCTTAGAAAGCTTAAAAACTTTAGAATGTTAATCTTAGTACATAATTTGCATGGTACATTTTGTGACAAATAAATGTATTTTTGATTTTAGTATTTTTTTCTCTGGTTTCTACGTCTTATCTGTCAGTCGTGAAAGTTTTACTGCTTGAATATAACGCGGTCTTGGCCTCTTTAAATGAAATCTATGCTAAATAAGTGAAGACTGTTCAAAGATGTAATAGATACTATGAAAAGCATTTTGATGGAGCATCTATTAATTTAGATGCTATTCTAAGCCATGCAACACTACCGATTTTATGCCTGTTTTGAATAAACTTTGAACAAATCCATCTTTGGAAACTGCGTGAACAATAACTACACGTTGTCCTTTCGAAATTGGTTTCTTTAAATCCTGAATTGACCCATCCGCGTACGACTTACAACTTGCATGCGACGAGTTGGCATATCAACGGTTTATAATATTTGTCTTCCTTCTTGCTTGTACTTTTTTATTCAATCTGTAGTAAATGAATGTTTGTCGATTAACAACTTCCTATTGATTTATATTTTTTCCATCTTAAGCCAAGTCATTCAAAATTCACCTTGTCCTTTCTGAACCCGTAAAATTAATGTCTTGTTCTAATTTCCTAAGCAGCCTTTCCACGGTGGGAATTACAATGTTGGTTAAATGATGATTATGAACATAAATCCTAATCACAGATCGGTCGAAGTTATTAATTTCAGTTACTTTTTCTTCCCAGATCTTTTCATTTTTAAGTTCGTTAACAATTCGCCAATTCAGTCTGTTTAATAGTTCAATTATCATCACCACACATCATTCACATCGTACGCATTTTTTTTTGGCTTGTCTCTTCAAAACTACGTTACTTTGTCGTGCCATACTGTAAGTGTTTTATATACAACAAATAAAAATAAAAACTCAAGGATAAATGTACAACAATGCAATCAATGCAAGGGAGTGTACTCGAAAGTCAACGGGACCGGACGCTGCGCGAGAGGCGAAGGTCTACAGAGTACAGTAATATTATTAGAGACGAGGGTCGACTGATCTACACATAGTATAATCGAAAACGAAACGGTTTTAACGCATCATAAAACACAGCCAAAATACGTTTCCTTGCATTCAAGGACATTATTCAAGATGTTTGCCGTTAACTATAAAAAGTTCAAATAAACCGATAACTTGCCACTGCCCTGTTGTCAAACAATAAGAAAAAAAAACAGTATGATTTATGGTATTTCTTTATCTTAGACTACAACAATAACATACAATGACAGATCACAAGACAAAAAAAATCATCATGACTTAACCAAATCTGACTTAAAATGAAATGAAAAGTCAACGCAAAATGTCAAACCCAGAACATTTGCTATGTCACGGAAAGGAATTTTTCTATCAATTTCGTCTTCAATCATAACTTCGAGTATAGGTTACCGGAATTCATTATTTGCGTTCTTTGCAAAATTACGAAACCTACCAGTTTGTTATTGGAACAGAACCATGATAGTATATAGCTTAAATTTAAGAACTACTGTGATATTCTCCGATTATCAGATACAAAAGCTTTCTCAGAATGTAACCATGAGTTCAACACAAATTACGAGAAGTTATGGGAATCACAGACGTGGGAGTCGTGATTCTATTGACAGTGGTGATGAAAGTGATTACGAAGATTCCGACGATGAAGAATCAAACCGCAAACGGATATCACGTCGTCATAAAAAGAAACGGGTTAAAAGCCGTATACCAGATTACGATGAGTTTGCAAGATTTCGTGATTCGAGTCGACCTCCTGATAGTCATTACACATCAGTAAAACCCTCATCATCTTCGTCTGACAAAGCATCTGTTGCACCTCAAGAACCATCTGCTCCAAGTGAAGAACCATCTGGGCCAAATGAAGAACCAGCCCCACAAGACGAAGAATCTAACACAAAAAAGTAATGTGAATTTAAGTCGTGATAATAGAAGACATTTCAAGGGTTGTCAGTTTTGTGTCAAACAGTTTACATCTGTAACTTGAAGCAAAATAGAAAGGAAATAAGAATGAATATACTTTTGGTTTTTATTAATTTTTATTCAGAAAAACAAAGTATTTTTTGTTGCTAGAAAAAGCGACGACAAAAACCTTACGGCATTCAGGTATTTTGTCAAGGCCTGGTTACCGAAATGTGTTTTGGTGTACGTTATGATATACCTACAAATGAAACAAAATAGTCAATAAGAAATTATCTTCGGATAGGAGCCGTTTAATTCCTGCTCTACTTGTTTGCTATGGCTTGTTAAGTGCGAATGTTAAGTTACTTAATGAAGATATTTTAAGAACCAGAGCAGTAGAATCTGAAATTCGCACATTCAAATAATATAAATATACGTTTAAGGTACAAATTATCTTTTTAGCTTCGTAACATAAATATACGTTAGGTTCAAATATTATATATAAATCAAAATTCGCCTTAAACTCCTTTCTAAACCCGTTAAATTAATGTCTTCTTCTAATTTCCTTTCTTGTTGTAATTAATTGCTTGTTTATATATATATTCTGATTGTGACTATTGAGTTGCAGGCGTTCATGAGCGGCGGTAGTCGCTTTCCATCAGGTGACTTGTCCACTCTTTTGCCCCCTCTTCCATAAAAATTAAAATGTATTTTTGTTAATGTGAATAAGACCAATATAAAGCTTTTTTTTATGACATAGGGCGTAAACGAGCAGACGGGTCACCTGATGATAAGTGACCACCTTTTGAGCCTCCCCTCACCCCAGAGGAGAGGAAAGGCTTGGTTTTCGGTAACTTCAGTCACTCAGTGCAAGGCAGCGAAAGAATAGCTATTCTGTGAGGCCGTGGTATCGTGTACGGACTGAATATGATCGGAGACTGCATAATATAGGTAATAAATCCTTCCGGACATTTTTGCTGGCAGCTGAAAGTGCCTCGACCTAAAGATACAGAATACTCCTGACATGTACACCAAGTTTATGATGATTGGTTGAGTGATCAAGTGCACAGAGTACAGTAATATGTCAAGTGCATAAATAAAAAAATAGTCAACAGAGTCCACTAACAGTATAAGAATCAACCAAAGACAACTTATTTTTTTTTATTTAAAACTAACGGTGATTCAAAAGATGGCCATGATCTTGTTTGCCCGCTTTCTTCTCACAATATATCTCTAACTTATTATTAAACTATTGAGAAACAGGCTGCTATAGATCGACAGATACGGTACCGGTACATGCTTTATTATTTGCTTTCCTTTATTTATTATTAATTTTGACATTTTACAAGGCTGTATGTTGTTTCGGTGACAGCGTTTATTAAATTGTGATTCCGTATTGCTAAACATTTTCCTAAAATAAAGATATTGACTTTGGAACAAACTCACTTACATTTTAATAAGAACTCATTGTTACTTATAAGTTGTAGTAAATATACATGCATCACTGAAATCACAAGATTCAGTTGTTATACTATTGTCACCGTAGACTTTGACTTTAAACATAAAAATGTCATCCAGGTTAGATAATGCATCAATAATTTTTGTGATAATTATTTTGATTATCGGATATCCTAATACATTTCTTCGGTTTAGACTCCAAAGTTTTCCTTATCCTAACAGTAACAGTGCAAGTGCTATATCAAGCTATCGTTTAAGATCTTCCGATTCTGAGTTATCATATTACGATCAAAGTTATCCAAATTCTAATCAAAGATTGGTAAGAATTGCTGATAAAAATAGTGGCAGTGGCGACGGAGAACAACAGTCTTCTAGAAGCCGCATACCTGATTATGATGAAAACGAGAGATTTAAGGATTCCAGTCGACCCCCTGATAGCCACTATCCACCCGAAGAATCTTCTCATCCTTCTTCCCCGCAACACGAGTCTCCCCCACCATCTCCAAAAAGTCGTATACCGGATTATGACGAATATGCACGGTTTAAAAATTCCAGCCGGCCTCCAGACAGCCACTATCCAATGGGTCCCGGTCCGAAATTTCGAAAGAAAAGCAGCTGTGACCATGCAATATCCAGTATGGAGCTAGTGGTGTGGACCTCGATTTTGTCAGTGTGTTTATTTTACAATATTATTTGAATATAAGTGATTAATCTAGACATGTAGTTAATCGTAATTAGTCAACATTTGTTTTTAAATATTATTAAACAAAACACTTGAAATAAGCATTATTTTCATTTATTACATTTTTATGAATTCTAGTCACCAACTAGAATAATACCTATGTAGGTTTTCGTAAGTCCTTTAGCGTGGTTGAATTGAATTGACTGGTAAACTATATGTTTAGTAACCGGTCCGGCTTGGGCCTACAGTGTCGTAAAGTTGACCATTCCTACGAATATTAAAAATGCCAGAGATCAAATCAGTTCGATTTTAATAAAATTTGGCATGATTCTTTGATTCTTGAGGAAGAACATAGGCTACTTACACACAACACGGGAAAAATCTAGTACTTAATCCAGAATTCAATCCAGATTCAATCGTTTGGGAGAGCTATTCACTATGCCACCACAACCCCTTTCTGTAAAGCAGGTAGTGGCTTCCCAGACGAGAGTTGTTGATATCATGGAAAACGTGAAGATTAGTTATTTAATCAAGCAGAATGAAATTAGTTACTCATATTTTTCCTACAGTGGTAAACAAATAGACCAGGGTCGATAATTTTGAAAATGGTAAAAAGTAAAAAAAAATTATAGTAGGATGAAACCTGTAAAAAAGGACAAGAATATAATAAAATGAAAGGAAAAATAATTTACGGGCGATCTGAGGTCGAGAAGTGGAAGGGGGGGGGGGGGTTAAGGGTAAAAAACGGTGTATCTCGATTTCCGGCCAAACTACAAGTCCTATGGAAAAAAAATAAATGACAAAGTTGTAGGTAATAAAGAGACCTACAACTTTTGTAATTACACTTTTTTCACATAACCTCAAAATTTATGTGAAAAATTCAAATAATCAAGTTTTGGTTTTTACGGTTTTTACGAAATTTGGTGAAAACTTACCTTTTTGTGTCCTAAAGACACTGTAATTTTTTTGATTTCAAATATTTATTTTTTCAACTTATTTTGAATTAATATCGAAAAAACACCCTAATTTTCAATCGAAAATTCTCGCGTCAGCCCCTTCCCCACTTCTCTATGATATACCTTTTGATGGGCTAAAATTATCACTAGGTAACTCAGGTATATAAGTTATCTAAAATAGCAATAAATAGACATCTATGCACATAATTTAAAGAATATTCCACAACTTTCTCAAAATATTGTAGACGTCTTATTAAATATTAACTTATTTGGTTGTTAAATATAGTAGTATATTTCAATTTGTATTTTTTTGTTTATCAATGTAACATAGAATCTTACGTTTATCAAGTAATTAAAGTGTAAATTTTACTAAATAGCTCAAAATTGTACGTAGTGATTAAAAAAAAACGGAATCGAGTTTTTTTCTTTTCTTTGCATTTTCTGAGAACATTTAAAATAGTAATGTCTATTTTTTTTTTTCATTATCAGAAAGAAGAGGTTTCAACGAACAAAAACCTGCCCGACTTTTTTTAAAAAGCTGATATTTTGACGCAAGAATTTTCGATTGAAAATTAGTTGTGTGTTTTTTCGATATTAAGTCAAAATAAGGTGAATAAAAAAAAAAATTCAAATCAAAAAAATTACCTTTGGGACACAAAAAGGTAAGTTTTCACCAAATTTCATGAAAAAAAAAATTGTTTTTGCATAAGATAAAAATAAAAACCAAAAACTTGATTATTTGTAGGTCTCTTTATTACCTACAAATGTCAAACAACATACAAATGTCTACAAATTTTGTCATTTAATTTTTTTCCATAGGACTTGTAGTTTGGCCGGAAATCGAGATACACCGTTTTTTACCTTTAAACCCCCCTTCCACTTCCCGACCTCAGATCGCCCGTAAATTATTTTTAGTTTCATTTCTGTTATATTCTTGTCCTTTTTTAACGGGTTTCATCCTACTATTATTTTTTTTGGTTTCAAAATTTATCGACCCTGGTCTAAAAGGAGCGTTTGCGAAGATAATCAATTAGACGTCCTACGAGTACGAAAGATGAGGTTTATTAGAATTCTTTATATTAAACTAGCTGTACACTTTGCACATTATGGTTGCAAAAAAACAATCTCTGAAGCGTTTTGTATGTCATGTCAAATTTTGAGGTCAAATATATGTATAAATAAATCTTGAAAATGGCTGGGTTTGGGATATGGTATTTCATAGTGAAATCTATCAGAAATGTTGGCAACTACAACCCCTTAAAGTATTTAGGTCGACTTACCAATTAACCCTGTATATAGATAGATTAGAGGTCCAGATAAATTCATAATTATCTGTGTAATTCGTATTAAAACAGCAATGATTCTATAAACATACGAGTATGTGGATATAATACTAATTTAATTAATGTGTGTTACCCAATGTTTATATAAACATGATTTAGGTGTCACACTCAAGCATCAGTAATATTACTTAATTATAGATATTGTTATTATGTTCACAAATAATAATATCACTTTCGCCATTATAATAGGTCTTTACCTGTGAAATTGCCGTTTTGTATGCAATAAGTGAAAGTACTTATTTTTCAAACTTTTTTATTTCTGTTATTCGAAGTAATCACCCATGCAATCGACGCATCTTTGCCAACGCATTGGCAGTTTATTGATGCCCTTTAAAGTTGTCTAAATTTTGGAAAAAGTAATAGTCGGTAGGTGCAAGGTCTGGTGAGTATGGCGGATGAGGGAGAGCTTCCAACCCCAGCTCTTGCAGCTTGGAGACTGTCTGTTGCGCAGTATGGGGTCGCGCGTTGTCGTGAAGGAGCAGTGGGGACGACCGATTGACCAAAGCTGGTTGCAGATGTGACCACCAGACCTTGCACCTACCGACTATTACTTTTTCTAAAATTTAGAGAACTTTTTAGTGGGTAAAAAAGTGGCAGTTTATTGATGCCCTTTAAAGTTGTCTAAATTTTGGAAAAAGTAATAGTCGGTAGGTGCAAGGTCTGGTGAGTATGGCGGATGAGGGAGAGCTTCCAACCCCAGCTCTTGCAGCTTGGAGACTGTCTGTTGCGCAGTATGGGGTCGCGCGTTGTCGTGAAGGAGCAGTGGGGACGACCGATTGACCAAAGCTGGTTGCAGATGTGACCACCAGACCTTGCACCTACCGACTATTACTTTTTCTAAAATTTAGAGAACTTTTTAGTGGGTAAAAAAGTGGCAGTTTATTGATGCCCTTTAAAGTTGTCTAAATTTTGGAAAAAGTAATAGTCGGTAGGTGCAAGGTCTGGTGAGTATGGCGGATGAGGGAGAGCTTCCAACCCCAGCTCTTGCAGCTTGGAGACTGTCTGTTGCGCAGTATGGGGTCGCGCGTTGTCGTGAAGGAGCAGTGGGGACGACCGATTGACCAAAGCTGGTTGCAGATGTGACCACCAGACCTTGCACCTACCGACTATTACTTTTTCTAAAATTTAGAGAACTTTTTAGTGGGTAAAAAATTCAATTCCCGAGAGGCAGTACAAAATGCCTTTGAAGAGTTTGTTGCCTCCCGTCCAGCTGATTTTTACAAGAAGGGCATCAATAAACTGCCAATGCGTTGGCAAAGATGCGTCGATTGCATGGGTGATTACTTCGAATAACAGAAATAAAAAAGTTTGCAAAAATAAGTACTTTCACTTACATACAAAACGGCAATTTCATAGGTAAAGACCTAATATTTCTTTCCCACAGATACACCCCTTTTTATGCAGGATAGGAAATAAAAGAAAGTTTATCTGAGATTTTTTTACTTCAATTTTCAGGCCGATTACACATTTGTAGATTCTTACGAAAATGTTACAAAAGGTATACTTAGATAATACATACATATCGATAAATATAATGATCACATTTAAAAGACTTTATATATTGCACTTATAACTAACAGGCATTTTTAAGCCCTTTGAGTGCAAACCCACCACATGCGTTCACCATAACCCAAAACCATTTATAAAACTATAAATTATTACTAAGTAATAGAAACTGTACAAGGGATATGTGTGAAAAAAATTACGTAAAGTCGGTAAAAAGCCCGTCATCAGCAAAAATATTTTATACAATTGTTTTATAAGATTATAATTTCTATAGAATTTATTACTGATTTTAGTCGTAGTTTTAAGAGCAAATTCGCTACTAAAATAAAATTTAATAATTTTAGATAGGTACATGTTACAAGAGAAGACGTGAGGATTTAATTATACTAGTTAGGGATTTTAAATGTTGTTGAAATGTTGAAATTACGTTTTCAAATAGATTCCTGATTTCAAAAGAAATGAGAAATACGAGTACCATCAATTATTCGAACTATTTCTAGTTAGGTAGACTGTCTTAAGTTAAAAAATTCGAAGGTGACGTCTCTCGACATATACCGAGCCTCTATCTTAAACTAATAGTAACAATTAAAGTATATATTGCTATTAGAAATGTTATGTAATTAAACTACTTATCATGTATCTTAAAGATATATCGAACGTGGTGAGTTTAACACTACATTGGAATAATTATAATGACTAATACTACATACCACAATAAGGCAAACACTGTAATACATAGTGTTATGTTATAGGCTGATTTATTGACTTGAGTTAACTTACATTATTTGACATTGAGCCAAGCAATTGACGATGGCAATAGCAATCGGTAGCGAAAGTGATTATTTAAAAATAATTCGTTGAAAATATAAATTTACAGTTGACTTGATAATGTGAATAGAATAATATAGAGTAGTGTTATAGTTAAAAATACTTAAATAGTGTGAAAATGTTACTGATATAGAGCTCTTTACAATGAATGTGTTGTAAAAGGAAAAACAGGCTGTACCTTCAGTTCTATTAATCTAACTTTCACAAATTTTAGAGTAATATTATAGTTAAAATATCACTTATAAAATGTTTATATTATTAACTGATAGACACTTGTTAATGGGTATTTATGTAAACATCGGTGACTGCATAATTTATGGCCCCGTTGAACTTAGTTAATAATTTATTTTTTCGTGCGGTATTTTTAATTATTAATCTCTGCAACTCCAATGTGTAGTAAAAAGGCAATTTCGGACGAATAATATTTAAATCCTTTAAAGAACTTAACGGACTCGGTATATTTTCACATTAAAGTTACATTCTGGGCCTCAATTCTGCTATTTTATGTTTACTGATGATCAGTAAAATTAATATTTATAGATTATAATGCGTATGTTTAAATGCATTATCTGTAAATTTCTTGTCCTCTCATGGCAAATATAATTTCTTTACAGTTTTCAATAGCTATCTATAATCAGTAAAAAAAATATTATACGGATATATTCAAACTCTAGTTAGTCTAGTAGCCATGCAATTATTTAAAGGAGTATTTATAATTCTATTTCAATTTTCGATATCCGTTCAGATTGTTTATTGGTGTCGCCAGTTAACGTCAGGATGAATCTAGATTTACTTCTAGTAATCAAATTTGAGAATATCCAAGTACGTACTCAGGTATAAACAAGTTACTTATACATTATTTGCTTAAAAAAATAAGATATTCTTACACTTAAAAATCTAATAATTATGGCGTGCAACCACAGTGGAATATAAATTATAAATGTTTTTATTTAAACATAGCCTTCATTAACGTTTTATGCATTGATTTTATATCCGTAGATAGCCCGAGGTACGTAGGGGTAACAGGGATTTCCTTCCTAGAGTACACCTGGTTCCCCGGTTTGTGTACGACATAACCACCGGTGGGTGGTATCCGAGTGGATTTCCGCAAAGAAAAACAAAAAGGGTCAAAATATTTGGGACATAGATTAAAAAAATATACAAGCAATTTTAGAGGCAATATTTTCTTCCTGCAAGCTTTCTAGCACCTAATACAGACTTAAATACATAGTTTTAAGAATAAAGAAACTTAAAAACAAAGTAAACCTATCGAATATAATCATCTACCGTAATACGTTCTATTAGCCTACAGAATAAAAATGCATTTCAGTGTTACATTGAATAAATAAATGTATGCAGTCATTCATAGACATTGTATGTATGTGCATCATTTTAAAAATAGTGAGTAATTACAAAGTTAAAATTACTCTCATCGCTTTTACACCCAAGTGCTTAAAATTTAATACCAAATAGAAGAAAGTTTAGCAAATTGTAACACCGTCCGGTTGCAGTCTAACGGCGGAGGTGGCTTTCCAAAAGATTCAGAATCTCTCATTATTGAGAGCTTTAGAATTTTCTTTTTATTAAAGTTCGGTATATCAGCAATTTGCAACTTTTAATTTATAATTTAGGGTTGATATAAGCAGGTAAGAGATCTAATGATGAGATAAAATACGCGAGTAATAATATGGCTAATATCTAATTAAATTTTGAACTAATAAGCACATTAAAATATCAAAAACTGCACTTTGTAACAGAGCACTTAAATATCACAAGTCAAGTACTCTCTTACATTTAACACGAGGACGTAAATTATCCTAGATCTTGCTAAATGAAAAATAAAATATTTACATTTTTAAATTAATAACACATACTCCATCCATGAGAATCCCCTGCTTAAGTTATTTGAATTTTTTGTTCACACTAGGGGACTTTTAAAATCTATTTCGTTCCTTTTATAAAAGACTCATGAAATTAATAATAACAGATATGACACAAAAGAACCATTTTGCACAATAGAAAAACAACACGAAATTTTTACACACTATCTGAGGTGGTCATCATAAAAGGTAGACATTGTCTGAAGTGGTCATCTTGTGAAGTAGACATTATCCGAAGTGATTATCTTGTGAATTAGACTTTATCCGAAATAATCATCTTAAGAAATTATTCGAAACGGTCATCTTGAGAATTTGACGTTATTTAATTTGGGTACTTAGTATTCTTATTTGAAGTGTTGTCATCAGGCAAAAAGGCCATTCAGCGACTGTTCCTATTTAATACAGTATTTCGCATGTTAGTCACAAAAAATATTTGGTATTTCATATAGTGAGTGTTGTTCATTATATCCTAATCCTGAGGAACATTCAAAGATACATTATATACCACATTTTGACTTAGACATTACGGACGTGTACGTGGTTCTAATATTAGGGTTATCTCATATCCCTATTGTAAATCAGCTAAGGCCACTGAAGGGAGGTTGTACAATGCATTCCATGCATTCACACCAGTAGCAGATGCAGCCTTCGAGTTAAACATTTTTGTCGGTTTCGAAAAGTTTTTTTTGAAAACATTTAAAAACTTCTGAAAATATTTTCTGAGCGGAAGCTGCTAATTAATAACTAAAACCTCTATCCGCCTTTGATTCACAAAGAGATATTACAGTTTTGTAAAATCAGTTACTCTTTCATTCCTATATAGTGTGCGTACGTAGCTTATACTATGCAACTTCACTGACATCCCTAGGTTAATCATAGTGATATGTTTCATTAGAAGACAATTCCATTTAACATTTTCCAAAATTCAGGCGGAGAATTTAACCCTGTTAGTTCAGTTTAGTTAAATATGTCTATTGTTTAGAACAGCCTGACAATTTTATTTTGTACCGCTATAATGTACTAGATCGCTTTTAAGATCTTTATTCTATATGGTCGTCACAGTGCGCATCCGCTTTTGGTTCCGTAGAGTTTCTTGAGCTCGGGCATGATAATATTTTTAACGTAGGCGGACTGCCGAGCCGCGATCCCGTCTCTTTTCGCGTTCCTCACGTAACGTTTGATCCCCGGCTTGTGTGTAAGGAAGGCATTATTCAGAATCATAAAATCGTAGTCTTTGACGCAGAGAATGTAGCCCTGAAAATGATAGAGATATTTGAAGATTAAATATGTTTTTGAATAAACTTAAATTACTGTAAAGGTAGAAATGAAGGGTTTTTTTTTAAAGAGCAACTAAACATATGTGTGTAACTGTGTGACTAGAGGATCAGGGAGATTTCTTTTGGTCTTATATCAATTTAACAGTGTTTATAGTTTACTAGCGACCCGCCCACATTAAAAATCTTTGGGATTTTGAATTTAAATTGCATGTACAAATTCTCAACCCTATTTTCTAACAATCCCATTTAATCACTTATAAGGCTACTTTTGAAAGGTAAATAAAGGTGTCTAATGTTTTTTTATAGAGAATAGACTGAGTATAGAATCGATAAGTTAAAAAGTTGGCCATACAAACTTGCACTTTTTAAGGGTAGTTTTGAAAAACTAGTAACAACGTTTTTTTACTTTGAATAAAGATTATTTACTATGAGTTTGAAACGTTCTTTCTAAGGAGAGGCCTATGTCCAGCTGTGGACTATTAAAGGCTGTTGATGTGATGTGTGATGTGATGATGTGAGTTTTAAAACGTCAAGTACTACCAAAAATAATGAAGTTTCTTATAAATTTCAGACTCCCCTTTGCACCCTTAGTGGTGGCATTTTCACAAATCCTTTCTTAGTGCTCACCTACACGTACGTCACCTAAGGAACATTTGCAAAATTTCATGGTTCTAGACCCAGCGGTTTCAGCTGTGCGTTGATCGATCAGTCAGTGAATCAAGAATCAAGAAAAATAGAGATAAACACTGTGAAATTGACGTAAGAATAATAAAAATCTCAAATCTCAAAAAATTACAAAGGTGGTTCGTGTTCGGTCCCGAACTTACAACACTCTATGCAATGGTATTTGAAGACTTAAAATGAGGTTATTGTGAAACTACAAATTTTATACCTGAGTCATTTTATCTTTCTTTCCTTCCCAACTGAGTCGCTCATCGTAATACGGATCTTGGTGCGTGCCGATGAAAATTGGCTCCCAGTGTACGAATTTGCCGTGCCGTTTGCCAACGTGAAATACATCCATTTCTGTAACATCAATGGTAACAAATTGTTGACTATTATCAGCAGAGGAAATTGCTAGTCGGTAATAATCAGCTCAACGGAAGCGATAGTTTTAGTAGCACATATAATTTGCGTACATGAAGAATGCAATACTGAATCGAAAAGTTAGGAATTTTACAATTTGGCGTAAGAAGTTGAAGCCGGTTGTCTGGGAACGGCGGGTAAGCCGCGGTCATTGAACCATAATACGCAATTAGAATGCCCCATACGACGGCCACGCCATGCTACAGACAGCATAAATAGCTCACGACACTAACAGCACCGAGATTAATTGCCACTGCATCACGGTTGTCCCACTAAACCTACACCGTTTTGGCAATAAAAAGACTAGGTTCTTACTATGTTACACAGGCTAGTTGTAAGCGGATACCACAACTTACAACTTTTTCCTTGTGACTTTTAAACTTTCACTATTCTCGGTAGTCATTTAAGTACTCATTAAGGATTTATAAAAATTTGTAGGTCTTATTAAATACTATATTACCCGCACCATCGACGACAAAAGACGGTTTTCAGCGATAGATAACACTCACTCACTCAATTCTAATATCGGATTAGTTTATAGATTTGTATTAAAGTACTTACGATTTGTTTCTTTTGCAGCCATCCATTGTTGGCCTTGTGGGATATTGTGACAATTAGGACAAACAAATTTATGGAAAGGTATAGCTGTTTTCTTCTTCAACATCTGTTGGAGCACGGTCTTATTTAATGGCACCTGAAAAAAGAAGAACGACACATAAATATAATAATAAAATAATAAATAAATATTATCAAATTTTTTTTTAACGCCATCTAGTCCCAATCTAAGCAGAGCTTTTACTATGAGTACTAGACAATGATATAAATACATTTATACTTTTTTTTTGTAAATATATACATATTTTACATAGAAACACCCAGACCAAGTCAAACATTAAATGTTCGTGCACACAAATGTTTGACTTGAGCGGGAGTTGAACCCGCGACCTTTGCATTAGCAGTCTGTTACACAAACCACTACGCCATATTAAATGTTTTATGTTAAGTTATGATGCACTGAGTTACCTTTACTTTGGCGTCAACTTCGAATATGCTTATTGGGAAGACTCTCGGTCTAGTAGAGTTGTTCAAGGGTGGTGCGTTTCTTGCAATCATGTTAAGAAACCTAGGTATCAGGTTGGGACTTGGGTACAATTCGATATCTGATGGCAGTATAAAGTGTGTTAGAGCAGCGTCTCTGGCGATATTTCTGGCAACGTTCACTGGGTACAAGAGATCCTTCTGCTTCATGTACGTTGTAGAGGCATTCACCACGAATGGTGGGTTCTCGGTGCAGTTATAAGGCGTCGCTAAGAACGTATCGGGGATCGGAATCTGAAAAGACCAGAAAAGCAAGACATTTAAACTCTGACGCATCTCGGGACAATTGCTAATGCTTAATGTATAGTTATACTTAAATACTTGTAGTGTGTGTGCCTACTTGTTTTGTAGATAACAAATAAGGAACGCCATGAAACTTCCCTTTCTGGCAATTTGCCAAATAGTAACAATATGTTTCAGAATTGTGCCAGGAGTGTTCCGGTCAATGACTTTGCAAGAGTCATACTTATGTAAATCTACAGATAATCACAAGTGTCTACAGTGTTGATACTCTAAACTACAGCTTTTAATCAAAGACATTATACGGCATGACCATTATCAAAAGTCGTTAAGGTGAAATGGACACACTCATTTGCGACCATAGTTAGGGATCACATTGAGGGCAGTGCTGGTATTTAGTCGTGATCAAACATTTAAGATTACGGTAATTCGCGTTATGATAATGTTTATTACGTAATTAGACTTTAAGAGCCCTAGAATGGTTCGAGTCTAGTTCAATATTTGTGAAGAATAAAGAAATAGTTTAAGTAATGTATAAATTGTGCAAAAGGTAATGATATAGAATATAAGAATTTAGATATAGGTAAATCTATTGTCTCCTATTTTTCTTATGAGGTAGGTTTAATGTAAATTTTATTTATGTAATTCAAAGTATGTATCTGTGTCGTACATTCTATTACTTTCATTTAAGGATTATTTAATTATCTTTAAAGCACATGTATCTTTATGTAATCCGGTCCATTACTCTCGACTTTGAGATTATGCCTAGTTACAGATTGACCTAGGGGGTCAATCTGTAACTAGGCATAATCTCAAAGAAGATGCGTTGGTATAGGGTTTGTAATTTGTTTTTAATAGTGTTTTTTGAAGTCGGTTTTTTTTTGTTAGAATTGTTCATACCCCTAATTTTTGTTTTTGACATATTTTTTTAAAATAATGTATATGGCAAAACAACGTTTGCCGGGTATACTTATATATTTTTAAATACATACATATATCTTATATACCTATACTTATATGTATAACATGTTTATCAGCAGTCTGGTTACCATAGTGCAGGCTCTGCCCAGTTTGGGATCAGACGGCAGTGTGTTAAATGTGTGAGATATTTACGAGTGCTAATGTGAGATATATTCTAATTTTAGCTTCATCCACAACAAAGTTTCAGAGGGTCAAAATGTCCAGCATGGCATCGAGAAAAGGATCATCCTTTTGCTTGTTACCAGCTGTACCAGCTGTGACTGTTGTAAACGTTGTTTTCGTGTTTGTATTGAACTCATTATCATCATCAACAGCCATTAGGAGTCTACTACTGGACAAGACAGGGCTTTTTAGGAAGGAGGTTTTGGCCTACTATACCACGCTTGCTAGACGGGTCGGTTTAGGGTTTGTGTCAAGTTTTATTTCTCGTTGCAGTGCTGTTGTCCTGCAAACTTTGCTCCCTTAGTCGGCTCTTAAGACATCTAAGGGATAAATAGGGGTGGTGACACTCCGTATTCTTATTTCGTCACCACACGGACATCGACATCGTCATGAAACTCATTAGCAAACTCTTAATTATGACATTGTTTTTATGTGCACACTATAAAAAACTAAGTTAATGTAAAATATATATATGGGTTTTTTATTTAATTTAAGGGAAAATACTCGTACTTATCTAAATAAACTTATTATTTTAAATACCACCTAATAAGAAGATTGAATTACAAAAACAAATCAAACATTAACGGTGTGTATTATGTATCCGCTCTACTTTCTTGACGCGGAATTGATTAAATACTCAAACGAACCAAATATTAACGGTATTTTGGATAAGTAGATCGATCGGGCCAGTTTGATTTATGAACCTCATACTTGGTCATTAACAACTTGTAATTAAACGTATTTGAATATCGGTTCGAAAGTAATGAGTGTGATGAAATTGCAATTGAACATAATTAAATTATAGTAGCCTATATCATCATAGTATTAACTTGATATAAAAGCCTATTGACTTTTATTATAGCGATTAGTGTAAATCGCTTGGGAAGTCTATGGAAATGTCTTGGTGCTGTAACAGACTTCAGTTACCACATATACAGTCGTATATGTTCTATGTTCCTAAGATAAGATACTGAACACAAAAGTAAGTAATACTTATTCTGGTCGTAAGGTAGGTTTATAGAAAAGTTGAAGTTTATGATTATTCATCAACAGCCTTTAACAACCCAATACTGGACATAGGCCTGTCCTTAGACGCTCCCTATACCACGCTGGTTAGACGGGTTGGTATAGGGTTTGTTCCGTGTTTTTCTTCTGTTTGCAGTGCTGTTGTCCTGCGTAGTTTGCTCCCTTAGTCGCCTCTTACGACACCTATGGATTGTATAAGGGTGGTGACATTCCGTATTCTTAATCCGTAACCACGCGGATTAGTATTATGCTATATTCCATATTTTTATGGTTACTTTTCTAACCGTAAACGCAAGTTTGTGGTTGCAATGTGTTTGATATAATTTATTCAGCACATATTAAAATTTAATCTTTATTTTCTTCTCGTGCTGTGAGACCTTGCTTCTTATCACGTTTCATTAGTCAACATTAGTCAACGGGAAATACCGGTTTTGATTTATTTATGAGTATCCAAATAAGCGGAATCAGTGGCAGTACTTTTTTATAGCATTGATTTGTTTCTTTTATAGCTTCAATATATATGAGGTAGATATTTCTTAATAGAAAAGATACACATAAATTACTTAGAAAGAAGTGCTTGACAAACGGTTTGGTCTAGCAAAATTTTTATTTTTTCGTGTAGCGTCCTCCAAAAGGTCATCAGAAGGGTTAAGTTTCATGTCAGACTCGAACTGACTAAAACGATACTATATAAATAAAGACAGAGTTTATTTTAGTAGTTCTTGTCAATTTATAACGATTTGATATTACGATCAAATTTTAATGCCTGAGCGAACTTTCTCTGCTACTAATCCTAATAAACTTGTTTGGTTTTTGTTGTACTACACCAAATATTAAAATATGTAAACCAATAAATGTACTGAGACTTAGGACTAATTCAGGGAGGAAAAAGTTCACTTGATAAAAAAAATATCGTTGCTTCTTATTAACAAGCCTTAAATACTTGAATATTGTTTCATAAGAAGTAATTAATAAATCATAGCGTAGCGTCCGTCTATTAAATCATTTATATCTCTGTAAGGGAAAAGTAAAAAAAAACATCTTTCATTGATTGAAAGGAACCAAAATAGCTATACCTACTTCGATTTTTTGAGAGCAGTATGTTCATCATCATCATCAATCATCAACAGCCTCCAACAGTCCACTGCTGGACACAGGCCTCTCCTTAGAAAGGAGGTTTTGACCAGGATTCCAAAACCTCCTTTCCGTCTGGCCAGCGTGGTATAGTAATACCACGCTGGCCAGACGGGTTGGTATAAGGTATGTTTCAAGTTGCAGTTTCAAGTTGCAGTACAGTTTGCAGTGCTGTTGTCCTGCGCAGTTTGCTCTCTTAGTCGTCTCTAACGACAGCCACGGGATGAACAGGGGTGACACTTCGTATTCTTAATCCGTCACCACACGGACAGTATGTTCGGGACGTATAAATCTCGAAACTAGGAATTGACGCACAGTTTACTTTATCCCGATAAGTTGGATAACTGACCACTGCTGGTATGACAACTTTATAAATTGACCACTAGGGATTGGAAATCCCTGCGTGGGATGGATATCTTCTAAATAGATTGACGACGACGACAACTGACGAGCAGTTTGATGTAAAGATACCCGTTATGGTAAAGCGTTTAACTGTGGTCATCTTTTAGTTAAAATTTGTAGAGATGTTGCTAGAGTTTATATGCATAGATCATGGATTTGACACTTTAGTTCCAAAAATAAATTTTAACCTAAAACACTTGAAGAAAATTACATTTATGCTAAACGTTCGTAATGGCTACAAAAAAATTATATAAAAAGGTAAACTTACGTTCGTAGGTATGTGTTTATTGCCGAAAAACACGTGGAAGGTAACGTATTGCCTCACGAGATCATTGCCAAGACAGTCACGGAGGTACCTGATGCTATTTATCGTTGGAGCCATGTCCGCGCCCGGCGCGTGAATGGCCAGACTTATTGGTGCCATCCATCTGTGGACAAGGTAATGGTTATAGTATTAATTAATGTTTATTCATGACGTCAACAATATTTTAATGATGTTTATTGTATTACATCGCATATGCAACAATTATTTTTTTTAGAATCTTAACAGATGCACAATATTAGTCTTTCTAAAGTTAATTTACAACCGAGACTGTATCTGTAAATTTAACAAAGAATATGACGAAGTAAAAAAAATTAAGGGTTAACTATTTCATAAAATTCAATAAAATAATTGTTTATAAACCAGTAGGTATTGATTAACATGTAATATCTATCTATCCCTTTTTTATTTATCACTTTTTAAGGGTTTTTAAGACAAATACCAATCCAAACATTTCAGATCAAACTTTCCTCACTCTTGCGCCCTCATCTTTAAAAACACTTTTCTTTATTGATTCCTTTTAATATTGATGATATAAAATGATTATACTTCTTACATGTCTACTTACACAGGTACACAAGAAAAACTTTTTGATTTACATAATTTATAGGTAAATGTTTTCAAACAGCGTTTATACCATAGGTACAAAGGTAACTAAAAGTTTATGACGTACTTGAAAAAAATCTAGAAATCAACCTGTTAGTCTAAACTTTTTTATTGACCTTTAGTAAATATCAAGTATGTAAATGTAAATAATAATCGTCCGAGGAATAATGAGTCGTTGTAATATAAAAAGTCCACGTACTCACTTTAATAAAAAGTGTGCAAATATTACGAAGCTACGTACCGAAACGAAGTAGGGAATAGAAGCAATTATATTTAATCAATAAGTTGGATTTGCTTCAAGCATTGCGTGACTGATCACATTCACGCTTCTGTTCGGCCCTGCTACAGGTCGTTAGTGACACTAGATACTACCTAAATTGCGATTTTGTGTAAAACAGAGGGAGAGCGAGGTACTAATGAATTCATTTTGATTTATTTTCAAGCTTTTCTTTATCACATCTATTTTTATTATTTAGCCCACATTTTCGCTCTTTTATTTGTCATTTTAATGTATTGTCATCTCTTTCTATGTACAAGGCTCACGGTGGCGTCTGTATGATTTAAGGTGACGTCCATTATCACAGATAAAAAAAAGGTTAATAAAAACTGTTTGTAGGTGTTATACAATAAAGAAAACACCTTTCAAAGCAGCCACTAAACAAATTAAAAACGGTTTCGATCTAAAGGTTGCTAAAATAGCTAATAACAGTGCGTCAAGTTGTGAAGTTGTTACATATAATGTATGAATTATGTAACTAGGCATTATGTAAGGCAACTGGGGTCGATTAAATTTTTTAATAAACAAATTAAGTCTATATCTTAACATTAAAGTAAGAAATTATTATTATAATGTATTTTAATATTGGTAAAGATACCTTACGAGTGAATTTTCGGTCTGCATCTCAAGTGCTTAGTGATATTAATGATTTTTTATGTAGGATTTAAATAAGTTTTTTTGATAACTTAAAAAACTAGATCAATTCAACACTTATCGATCTATATTGAAAAGAGCATGTTGTTTTTGTCTGTCTTATGCGAGTGAATTAATTATTACTGAAACAGACAGTCGTATGCACACTCGCTGTCCTAGTTTGTCTATGGTAGCTTTAGAGAAATTAATCGACTTGTTAAGATTCCCGTTTGCTTGGAGCTGTCGCGCCGGCTAAAAACTCGTACACAATATAAATCGATTACTTGCGGTTAATGTAAAAACGTTTCAAGTCGACAAAAGACGTTATTAATGGCATGGCTTTTACAAAAGGGACTAAGGTGCCTGCCACCGACTTTTTAGGCCACGATCGTAGTCACGTGACATTTGCCAAACCTTTGCAACCTTCAAATTACGATCGTCAACGTGTTGTTTGAGGGTGCAGTTGTAAGTCTGTTAAAACTTTTGTATATTTTGCATAACAACTGTATAAACTTCTCAAGTTATTCTCTCATAAAAATACTGTACATTAGATTTTTAACGTGCCACGTGTTTTTCGAAACTAATTATTTATATTATTTTCCTTCTGTTATTTCAGTTCCGCATCTTGCTCGCTGTTACATTATTATTTTCTTATTTAAATACAAGGAAAGACCAAAAAAATATTTTATGTCTAAAGAGAATTTAGCTTCTTTTCTGTTTGCTAAATACATTCATAAAACGTATGTATCATTTCTTTATAATACTAAAAAAAATAGGCAAATATTCGAGAATATGTAAGAGAATATTCGTTACAGCACTAGTAACTTATTAATTTTTAAAACAGTTTCTTGATCACTCGGACCTTACTTTAGTATGAGAAAAACACTCAATGCATTGTACTTTGACTTTAGACATACCAAAAGCGCAAGTAAGGTCTTATTTCAATTGTTTTCCAATAAAATGTTTATTAATGTATGCGCCATTGTGTCTTCACTTTCGTGCAACACCTTTGCTATTTAGGACGTGAACGCGGAACGTACTCGTACATATCATTTCATCTAGGATTTCTTCAGAAGACAGTCCCACTGACATTTACAACACTGTGTAATACAACCTTTCTGTTACGTTATGATACATCGATATTGTATTTAGAGTACCGTAGTGAAGTTAAGAACCCTTAAACGCGAATATTTTTTTAAGGTATAACGTTGGAACTGTTGGATTAGGGATTTAAGACTGTCATAGTACTGGTGAATCGATTTATTCGTAAGGAATTGAAAGCGATACATGATCTAAATCGTAGGGGAGGCATGCCTCGGCACAACCGGAGTGATTCCACGTCCTTACAGAAGATCGTTGTCAAGGAATTCTTTCGTTGCATTGCACGGAAGGAATTACCCTCATCCCGTTGTGAATATTCAGTTGCAGTTCCATGGGCGGCGGTAGCAATTATTAACCATCAAAAAACTCGTTGGCCCGTTGTACCACAAAAATCTAGCCTCGAGTGTTCATAACCCATACCATACGTACCCGCTTTCCAAGACGAGACATTTGCCGATTTCTAATCGACAAAAAAGATTTTTATATATGACTAGTTTAGCCACAGCGTTTTCTGGATAAATTTTAATTCGATTATTGTACCTTCGCAATTATAAAAATAGTTTTAGGATATTGTTCATTTAAATATACTTTTTTTTGTCTGTAAACTTCTGTGTAAGTATTTAAGACATGACATCAGCAGCACGTGTACCAGAGCTGGAATAACTAAAAAGCGAATGTTCAAAGCACCATGACTAAAATTACATAATGTACAAGGTACTTAATGTATTTAATAGCAGATGAGACCAGTATTCACCCAATATATTACGATCAGTCGTGAACAAAAAATTGTTACACATACTTTATGCAACATTCACGTTTAAATGCATAATTGGCAACTTAGCATTGTAACATACAATCAAACTTATTGCTATCGTATTTCACACATTTGATATTTCTCAAAAGTAAACATTTTGTAAGCAGTTCTTATGAAACGCTAATGTCATTACAAAAGTGTAAATTGACACTAATAATACATCAGAATATCTATTTTAAAATTTTATACCTATTCCTATGCGGTTTAGATGTTTGTAATAAAATTATACGGAGGGGTTGAAATTGCCATAGAGACGAGTTGACCAAAACATATGAATATACACATAGCTATAGACAAATATATTTTTAATAACCGACTTCCAAAATACAAAACAGGAGGTTCTCAGTTCGTCTGTATGTTTGTTACGCTATATCTCCGTCAATTGTAACGATTTAAAAAATATATTTTTGTAAGTAATCGAAAGGGTTTACTCATTACCACCAAATCATTATCTGACGATGGTATCCCAAAGAAATCTCTTTGTTAGTATTGTTTGAAGTCGTCTCAACTTTTTTTTAAAGTATTTGTATAATATGTGTTATATTTAATGTGAAATGAATAATATTACCTAGCTTACTACTTTTACTTTTTTAAATTAATACATTTGCTCTATTATACGTTCTTTGATATCCCACACTTAAAAGGCATACCTATTACTGCAAGATGTGTTGGTACTGTACTATACAATACGGTGCTGTTTTATATTTTCAATTTAAAGTTTACTTATATAATATTCATTGTATTACGTAACACGTGTAGTCTGTAAATAATTTCCCTAGAAACTGTCCTTAATGAATTACCTGGGGCAAACAGTATAAGTGAAATGTTGTTATAAATAAGAAATGAATAGGCCAGCCTTATTTTCACGAAACATTCGAACGAAAACGGGGAGTTTAATCAGTAGGGTGCGACCACGGTGCGACAGTCTGGTAGCCTCGTGTCTATGACCCGTTTAGTCAACACTAAACTTGACCGAATCACTGATGTATAAAATTAAGAAGTGATTAAAACCGTGATAATAATCTTTGCAATAACAATAGTTTAGTATCTACATGATGTAATTAAATTCTGAACTAAATAAACTTAGGTAACGTTATTATGGTCATCATCATCATCATTAATGATTGATATAGAATATTGTAAATAGTTACAATGTATATAACTTAATAGTATTTAATTAACCCTTTCTTAAATTTCATTCTTGAATGGGAGAGGCCTATGTCCAGCAGTGGACTGCGATAGGCAGATGATGATGATGATGTTTCTTAATTAATTTTATTGTAACATGGTTGTGCAAAATTATGGTTTATGCTAAATCATCGGCGTTTTTCACACCATACATTATTGATGGTGGCATGACGTATTGACGTGACTTATTACGATTCTCATCTTAAATGATTAATTTCATATATTCACTCAATTTTGATTGAATATCAAACATTGTCTTACCCTTTCCTAGTGATATTACATAAAAAATTGCGAAACAAAACTGCAAATGCAGCGATGTGTAAAACTTCACACAGATAAAGTGGAATTATCTTATTTATTGAATTATGATGAATCTATTCCTGTCTTCTATATCTGTTAAGTATCCGCATGGGTTTTATAAAACGTGGCTATGATAATTCGTACCTAATAAACTATTGACATTTTTTTTTGTTTGTTTATTAAAACT